TGTGCCTTGTCAGGAGAAAGCAGGCGCACGGGGGGGCGGTGGATGGCCATGGTGAATAATCTCGCGGTCCGGTTTCGGCTCAGAGAGGGTCGGTTCAGAAACTACGCAAGCAGCAAGTGGGCGGGCGCCGGGACCCACTGGCTTCGCTCGCACCCGCACTCGCACCACGCTCGCTCTCACTCTCGCTCGCCGGCCGTCTCAGGGTCGCGTCGCGTCAGCCTCTCACCCCCCCCCCCTCGCCCACGATCCTCGAGCGAGGAGAGATGTAAAGACGAGCACCAGCACGAGCACGAGCACGAGCACGAGCGAACCCCGACACTGCCCATGGCTGGCTCAGCAACGCCCGGCGGAGGGCCTCCTCCACCGCCTGCAGGCCCGCCGACGCAAAAAGTTAGCGACGTCATCACCAGCTTCCGGCCCCAAAGAGTGAGACAAGGACCCCGCGCCCATGTAACGCGTGTATTCACAATGCTCCCAGCGCTTCAAGTCGGGCGGGCAGGGCACCGCCATTACCTCGCTCGACTTTGACGACTCGGGCGAGCTCGCCATCGTGGCGCGCGACGACGACACGCTCCAGATCTACAACTGCAAGGAGGGCAAGCACGCCAAAGAGCTCAAGAGCCAGAAGTACGGCGTGCACCTGGCGCGCTTCAGCCACCACGCGCAGAGCATCATCTATGCCAGCACAAAGGTCGACGACACGATCCGCTTCCTCTCGACGCACGACAACTCGTACATCCGCTACTTCAAGGGCCACAGCGACACGGTCACGTCCATTGCCCTGTGCCCGTCCAAAGACGAGTTCATCAGCTGCTCCCGCGACAACACGGTGCGCCTGTGGAATCTGCAGTCGCCCAACTATGTCGGCCTGCTCAACCTGCACGCGCCCTACCTCGCCGCCTACGACCCGTCGGCGACCGTCATGGCCATTGCCTCGCCGCCCACGCAGTCGATCCTGCTCTACGACATGCGCAACTACGACAAGCCGCCGTTTGCCACGTTTGACCTGCTCGAGTACGAGCAGCGCTTCATGGGAGGACAAAAGGTGGACTGGACCAAGATGGAGTTTAGCAACGACGGCAAGAGTCTGGTCGTGGCCACCAACGGAAGCGGCCATTTTGTGCTCGACGCCTTTTCCGGCGACATTTCGCACTTCTGCTACCGCAAGGCGGGCTCGTCGGGACGCCTGCCGCCGGCTTTGTCGGTGACCAATGTCAGTGGAGCTGCACGCAGTGGTGACAGTCGGGCAAACGGCCAGGGCGACGTGTGCCTCACGCCAGACGGGCAGTTTCTGATTGGGGGCAGCGCAGAGGACGGCCTGCTGCTATGGGACATTTCCAAGCCGCCAGCCCCAAACAACATTCTGGAGCCAATGGAGAAGCTACCGGGACAGGGCAAGGGTGCGATTGTGGGCTACAACCCGAGGACGAACCTGCTGGCGAGTGCCGACCGGGATTTGTATCTGTGGCAGCCCGACGCAGACTTGATGATTTGAGCATCTGGCTGGAGATATAAATGCGAAGAAGCGCTGGCTGCCGAGGCATGACGGGCGTGAACAGGGTGTAGATAGTTGCAGTCGGAATACAGGCTGGAATTAGGCAAGGACGGGGACTGCCATTGTGAGTTGCAGGTAGCCAATGGATATGAGTGGTTGTTGCAAAGACAAGGTGACGCAGAAGATGCTGTGTCGCTTTTACACCTACGTACATGGGCACGAGAGGAGCATGAGTGGTGAGCATGGACCGATTCGGCAGGCGCAAGCGGCCATTGGCCATTGGCCAGTGGGTGCAGCGCCTCGCACAGCCGTCGGAGTGGACTTGGTGTGGGCAAAGCATGATTTGATGGGCGTCAGCCTCGGAACGGAGACGTGGCCAGGAGCGGCATGGGGCGGGCTTCGGTTTGTGCGTGTTTGTGGTGCGAGAATTCCATGCTCGATGGCATGCATACAGGACAGATCTTGGGCGTGCACGAATAAGGCGACGAGAGCATCATGATGGCTGTGGCGGGCGTCGCCTTGGGGGCGACCAGGATTGGAGCCCAATCGAGGCCGCCTAGAGTGTGTGTGTGCAGCTCCACCATATTGCTTTCTGTGGCTGCTGTACAGTACACGGCGAGCGGCAGAGTCATGTGCTGGGCGACGAGGTGCTTGGGCTGCTGTGCATGTCGCGAGGGAGCGAGAGCACGAGAGCAGAGAGCGGGCGAGCGAGCGGGCGGGTCGAGTTGGCTGGCTGACAGGGTGGGGTGCAGGACGTGTGCATGTCACAGAGGCCATGCTCACCACGACGGCCGGGGTATCGTGTGTGCGTGTGTTCTGATCGCCGGCGCCCCAGACAGACCCTGGAGCCTCGGAAGCCTGTGTGTGAGTGGGTGAGTGGGTGAGTGTTTGCTGTTGCGCTGGCAAGGATAGCCTAGAGCGGGCTGCTGGGCAAGACGGCATGCATGGCGGGGGATGCAATCCACACGACGTGGTGGCAGGCATACGTGTGGGCACGGGCATGGGCAGAGGCAGAGACAGAGACAGAGGCAGAGGCAGAGGCAAGGCAGAGAGCCAAAGCCAAAGCCA